CCCCCCCCCCCGCCCGGTACGCCTATGAGGATTTTGGTCATCTCATACGATATAACTAATTATTGAAGGGATTTCGAGTGGAATTTTTATACATTTATTAGACCAAACCTGGACCAAATGCGACCATCGGCCCTCTAACAGGAATCAATTCTGCGGACTTGTGATATCGGTATGATGTATGGGTAATGGGATAATGTATAATGTAATCGATGTAATCGCGATGGTTAGAGCTCTAGAACTGTCTCTCGAGCTCTATGGTTCAGTTACTTAGAGTGCTGCACCAGAATCGCAGAGTCTCAGGTTGGATTTTTGCCGGAGGGACGATACTTGTATTTTTTGCAACTCACTGCTCCTATAGTAAGGTCTAAAAAATGTATAAAAATTCCACACGAAATTTTCATCTACAAATCCCTTCAATGATAAGATGTTAATAATAAGACATTATTTATATTAATAATATTAATAATAGATTATCAATTTGTTAAGGAATTGTTGTTAAAAGTACAGATGTCACCTACACTATGGACGACGTTTAAAGTGACGAAGATCAATTACAAATTTAACTTTTTCTAATTCAAAGGTCTCTTCACTTCTCTTCTGAATTTACCTGCTGAGAGTGTTGTAACGAGTCAGGTCGTTGACTTAAATTTCTTTTTTCAGCTGCCAACCCAATAGATAGATTGGAGAAGACTGCGACGTCGACGTCAGCTAGGACGTCAGTGCTGAACAGAAGATTTGGACAAAAGGACCGCCGACGTCGTCCTAAATAATTAGATATCGACTTAAGATTCACGACGTCGATCTTCGAACTATAAATATTGACATCCTTTTCAAAAAATGAATTTTAAAGAGACGCGTGAATTCATTAGCGTTTGTTATGCTCTTTTATTCACGATGGCAAAACCCTTGTTGTGAAGTTGTCGACGTTTAGTGGACGATGCCCAATTGGGACACACGAATGCACACATCGAAAATTATTATCAATTTACTTCCGCTTGCCGTTTTAGATATTTCACGTCGCGATTGTAGATCCTAAGCTATCCATTTATTTAGGAGACGTCCTAATTCCATCCTCTGCTCCAACGTCTGAGTTGACGTCGGCGTGATAGATCTTAAGCCACTATTGACCCGTCTCGAGTCAACAACACGATATGACTCGACTCCGACTCGACTTGTTAATTTCTTCCATAAATGACTCGTGTCAACTCAGTTGCAACTTGTACAGAATAAATGCATAAAAACTTCGAAATTTTTGAGAAAATATAATGGAATTTAAATTGAATCCTTGATGGGCATTACATTTTCTGTTTTTAGAAACAACGCTATTCTTATTTTTTTCTCCTTACTAATTTTGAACGGGCTCTTTTTATTCTCGGTATGTATGAAAAGCTATATCATTGCAAAGCGTTATTAAATTCTATTCTCAGTATTCTGACTCCAGTTGCAAGTTACGCTACTATATACTGCATGCAGAAGGTATGACGAGACATCTCACGTAGGCGTAATTAATATTGAATAGAACTTACTGTGATATTGGCACAGCCTAGCAGTCCAGATACTGCTTGTTATCAAATTACTAAGTACTTAGAAGGTAATTATAAATATCATTTCTAAACTTCATTACTAAATTTAAAAATTTAAAAATAATTGCATTATTTCCTAAATTTCCAGTTCATTTCTAAATTTCATTACTATTTTTACAGACTGCAAGCCAGGGTACGAAACAATTACCGAAAGTGTGTGTGGTGGATTTGATTAAATTCCGTGACTCAACTAGCAGTACTCAAGGTTATAGATATTAACTTGACTTGAGTTGAACCACTGCTCAGAAGCTTTTCATCACCGCAGTAGTAGGGTTAAGCTAGAAATGGCATTCTACACGTACTATTTAAAACACGAGTAGGAGTGTTTTATCATTGCTCAAAAAGGAAAAAGTTGCATGAAGTTGCTCGAACCGAAAAACGTTGCCCCAAACGCAAAAAGTTGCTCAAATGTTGCCAAGCACAATCGGGGCATGCATAGCTTTATACCAACGACATGCATTTGGTGTTAGTAATGATGTTTATTGTACCTGTAAACTACAGTATAACGTGAACGGAAAATATATATAAACATACAACACATATAATAAAACAAATTGATTATCATATTATATTTCTGTAAGGTAATTTTCATTACTCTTCTGAGCTGTAGCCATATAATTAATAAACCCCTGGTCTAATACACGGAGAGTCTTATATCCGGGGGGGAGCTTATATTTGGAGGGAAGTGCTCGAGCGTTTTCAGGAGGTTCACGGAATCGTACCTCTGTATATAACTCTAACTTTAGAAATGAATTATCATAACGCAACTTTTTTATGACCTGTTGATTTCGATTCACATTTTGTTAGGAAATTTAATGCTCGTGCTGCGTACTCACATTTTAAATAATTATTTTTGGGCAACTTTTTACTCAAGTTGAACTTCACAGTATGAAATGTTTATATGTGATGGACAACTCCATTTTCTTGCTTGTCACGAGCAAAGAACCTGGGCAAGAGGTTGCTTCATTTTCTGTGATATTTTTCTGATAAAATAATTTGGAAAATAAAGTAAATATTGCAATATGCTTTAATGCTGCTTATTTGTCCCTGATATTTACTTGCTGGGGTAAATATCTGTGTTCTCTTAAAAGCAAAATGGTGGTTGTAAAAATAAATGCTGATTCAATTATGACTGAACTAAAAGTGTTGTCATGCAGATTTCGGGTCAGTTTCATCATCAAGGCACTGATAAAGGCACAGCATGTGTCATGATAATATGAATATGTCGTAGCATGGTTTCGAGTGCAATTTGAATATAACATGCACGAGTGAGTTTTTCAAAAACCTCAAAATAGCACAAGTCCGAAGGACGAGTGCTATTTAAGGTCTTTGAAAGCTCAAGAGTGCATGTTTATCCAAATTTCACGAGAAACCATCTACCTCTTCCCAGGCCATACAGCCCGTAATGAGCATGCCCGTTCGCAGGTTGAAATTTGAAATCTGAGACGAAGCTGCTGTAAGGCCTGCTGAATAACATGTATAGTGTCGATTACTCGGTTGGATCAAATTTCTTCAAAAATATGCGAGTATTTTCTAAATACATCTTGGCAGTTATGGCTGATATTAAAAAGCAATGAGAAGATTCAAATTACGGAGGGTTTTACAAGCACAAGCGACAGTGATAATAGACGATGTGAATCAATGTTATCTATATCATTTGGCCAAATGGGATGTTTTGACTATATACACACGCATTTAAATAGTTACACTGTATAAAAGACAAATATAAATGGAATAGATTTCGTGGATAAACGGCCTCATGCCTGACATACGACGTGTTACATAAAAGCGCTGCGTGTTTGTAATATGCAAATTATAAAGTGATATTTATCTGCCTCTCTTTATAAATCATAATATGCTTGTTTGTTCAGTGTTAGCTGTTTTTATGTATATTGCAGTTACGAAAAGCGGTCTACATCAGAAGTAGTTAAAGACTTTAATAATAATATTGTTCTGATAAAATTATATTTTAAATATAATTTGGTTTGTGGCTCCCGCCATTTTGGAAAATTAGTCCGCAGGCCTTTCCGTTCGTTTTCCACCAATTTTATTTTTTTGAAAGGCCTGCGGAGGAGGTAGAGAAATCATGCAATTACGTATTAATACTGAATGTACATAAAAATGTTCGAGACAATTGTAGTTTTAACTTACGCGTTTATAGCGAACATTCCACTGGCAAAGTTTAGTCATTGCCTTGTTCATATCACATTATACAGTACAACGCTAACACTTGAAAATCCCACTGAACTATGTAATTTTTGTTAAGGCCCTGTCACACCATTGCGTATGAGAGAAACGTATGAGAAGCGTATGAAAATTAATGAAATAATTTTCATACGCACAAAAATCCTTTGAAATGCCAGCGTATGAGTACCGTACATCTGGCCTAGCTCTTGCGTATTCAGCGTGTGCCTAGAGTATGCTTATCGTATAAAGCATACGTCCAATACGCACAACATTTTTGAGCATGCTTAATTTTATTTTAAAAAATTTTCTACCTCGCCGTATGCCAGCGTGTGCGACGTGCTAGAAGCCTATACAAACTATGCCTGACGTACCCCTAGAGTATGTCAGCGTATATAACAGCGTATGAGTGATATTTTTCATACGCTGGCATACGCTAGTACGATACGCAATAGTGTGACAAGGCCTTTAGTCTAACTTGTAGTTTAAGGTAAATGCTCAGTTTCCATTTAAAAATAAAGATAAAAGTCATATTTTCCACGCGAAGGCATGCAACTTTTACTTTATGTAGCGCGGCGCATGTTTGCTTTGTTTTGAAGCAATCTGTGAGCGTTACTTCTTGAAACTAAATTGCTTTAAACTGATTGGTTGATTTAATCATCAAAATGCTTTTCCATGTCGGATCTCAACACCAAAGTAAAGGATTGCGAGAACGAAAAACTCAGCTTGGTGACAGTGAATAAAAATGATTCAAGCGGACAACCAACACGCGATGAGTTCCGAGGGAATTTGGCAAACTCAAAAGGGTAAAAGGAAAACTAAACAAGTAACCGACAACATCCATCCTGATAGACGAGAAATAGAAACAAAAAACAAGTACACGGTACTAAGTGATATCGACGGGGAAAGCAAAGACAACGACTCAAGTAACGTTCACCAAACCGCCACTGTCGTAGACCCATTAGCTAAACCTAGTGCAGGCCAGGATCTAAATCACTAAAAAAGCGTACAGATAAACATCGATCACCCAGCCGAAAATCGAGCGAAGTTAAATCACATCCCAGTAATACCGATCATCCCAGAAATACCGATACCAGAAATACTGTTTACCCCGAGATACAAATCATATCAGGAATACTGAACATCCTAGAAATTCCAAACACGACCATTAAAGTACAAAGACGCCAGCACGTTCTAAATCTAAAGTTGTCATTTTAGGCGATTCAGTGATAAAACACTTAAATCCAAGACAACTTGAAAATGTGTAAATCATAAAATTGCCATACAAACTTTTCCTGGTGCTGGAATAGATGATATGGTTCATTACGTCAAACCCACATTGTCCAGATGAAATAATACTACACATCGGTACTAACGACCTTAAAAACAAGTCCCCAGACATGTTGGCCCAATCCGTTGTAAACCTCGGAAATGCTATTAAGAGAAAAAACAACGAAACCAAACTAACACTTTCATCAATCATTGGCAAAAACGATGACGCATTCTTTGCTGAAAAGGTAATACAATATACTGTAATGAACTATTAGTAGAATTGTGTGTATCTTATACAATTGGGATCTCGTAGATAACAAAAACATTGACTATTTCATTTAAACAATTATGGTTTACATTTGAATAGAAAAGGCATTGGGGCCAAAACATTAAAAACTTTTTAAATAAAAATTGACTAATAGAACCAGAATATAGCTCCATAGAAAATATTGTGACTTGAAAATCCGTTATCAGATATATGCGAATTCGCGTACCCAAAGCTTAAAGGTAAAAAATTGGGCAATTAATTCTATAGCTTAGTTAAACATGTCGAAGAACTTCGAATATTTATTCATGAACAATCTATTGACATTTTATGCATTAATGAGACACGACTGGACAATTAATTTGTAGTGGAGAGGTTGAAATTTGCGGTTATGAAATAGTAAGAAGAGATCGAAATAGAAATGGAGGAGGCGTTGCAATTTACTTGCGCAACAACATTCCATACGTTGAACGAAGTGATTTAATTCCTGAAAACGTTGAAGCATTGTGTCTTGAGATCAGAAAACCAAATAGTAAACCAGTGTTAGTTTCTACCTGGTACCGTCCACCAGATTCGAATATTGAATTGTTTGAATGCTTTGAAAAATTTTTTGAAAAAACTTGACGATGAAAATAAGGAAATAATTATAACCGGTGACTTCAACTGCGATCTGTTAAAAACGAATCATGTCAATTCCAACATTAAAAAGATGAAATACTTAATAGACATTTATCAACTTCAACAACATATTGATAAACCAAGTAGAACAACCAACTATTCCCAAATTCTTATTGATCTCATACTCACTAAAATTGAAGACAATAAAACAGTCGATTCTGGAGTAATTGAACTGGGGATAAGTGATCATAGCCTGGTTTATATATGCAGGAAAATAAGTATCCCTAAGTGAAAACCTAAGCTAATAGAGACAAGACAATTCAGGCACTTCAATCGGACTGATTTCCAAAACAATCTTAGAGAAGCATTTAGTAATTTCAATCATTATACAGAACCCAATTTAGCATGGCATCAATGGAAAGGGATATTCCTGCAAATTGCTGATAAACATGCACCCCTGCGTTGAGAAGAGTAAAGAGCGAATATACCCAGTGGCGGCGCCAGGCTTCCAAACTTGGGGGGCATTTGAGGGGCAAACTCAAATTTTGGGGGGCAAGATAGAATTTTTAAAAAGGTCGCCCCCCCCAGGAAATTCGCCCCCCCCCCTCAAAACGTGGCGATATTCCTAGGAATATTGCCCCCGGGGGGCGAATATCCTAGGAATATTGCCTCCCAGGGGGTGGGACGAATACCCTAGGAAAATCGCCCCTCTTTAGGACATTCGCCCCCCATATATGCGATGTGGTTTATTCAAATAATTTCGTGATACTTTCATCTTATTATTGCCTTACACGTTTGAGAATTTAACTCTGCAAAACTAAAGCTTTTTTGTCTTTTTTTGAAACGTATCATTGGAGTATTGGCAAGTTTTACCATTCAGAGATTTACAAACTAATATTGAAACTGTAAAAAACAGTTTCATGTATACGCGCATTCACTAATGAGTAATGACAACTTATAAGCCATACATTTTCCGATAACGACAGAACGTTGTGTAGCCTTTTAGTCGCTCTTAGTGACTAATAATTTTTTTGAGGGGGGGCAAAATGGGGGGGCAAAAAATAATTTTGGGGGGGCATTTGCCCCC